CAGAAGCCTTGTAACCGTTTTTCCCAAATAGAGGGTACGCTATTTATTTATTTAATTTATTTATTTACAGCTATTGCACAACAACGGGTCTCAAAATAATGTAGCATGAAAGGCGAGATTACAATAGTTACAATATTAATGACCAGATTAGTCCCCCGTCAACCGCCGGGACCTTCCTTTCCTGCGCAAGCTTTCTATCCTCCGCTATGGTCCCTTCCTCCTGTGACACCAACACCTCCTGGAAGTGACGCGTATGCAACACAATGGTGTTTCATACAGTAGAAGGGACACAATCATGATATGACGGTAGATTTTTCGCTTCCCTTCCTCATCCTCCCTTCCTCTCTCCACTGCCCTCCAGCTGCCACTGCAGCACCATGTGGAATGAACGGAAGTGTGCTAAGCAGGTGTTTATATAGCCCTAAGAGTGTTATCACAACTATCTGCTACAAAACATTGATATCTCAAATCCTGTAAGCTACCCGATTTGTTAGCGGTTTGTTTATCCCATGAGCTTCCTTTCTCACTCACTTCATTTTGCGGACGGACACACATACATACACACACACACACACATACAGATACACAAACCGACACACAAAGTTAGCGCTTTATATAAATAGAAGGATAACAGAAAAATTAAATGGAATAAGAAACGATATTAAATAGTTGATAATCGGCCTGGCAAGGGCCTCGGGGGGGGAGAGCGATAACGGCCCAAATAAGGAGAAGAAGGGCAATGGCCGGCCAACATTGCAAACCGCTGGCGGGGGGCGGCTCCGGATACCAACTTAGTAGGTCCGCCAACTCCTAGGGCCTCATGGCGGACAGGGGACGGGGGAAGTATCCAGGAAGAATTAGGGCAGTTCAGGTGGTGGGGGTGCGTTAGTCACTTTTCGTGCAGTAAAAGTAGGAAAAATTGTGCGAAGTCTATACTGTCATAAATTTTTGTTCGAGTGAGAGGGCGCAGACGAGCATAGCACGTTGACTTATTTGAAGACCAAGTTCAAGTAGTCCGTAGACGGGTGGGTGCATATTGTGCCCAGCTCGATTTTGCCAATGACTGAGGGCGATGCAATTGCGGGCGCTATTCCAGCATGGGGGGGGGGGCATTTTTGCACAATAGTCCTTGCGGATCACTGGTAGTGCCTCTTCCGCATAGCAAGTCCTTGCAGTCACAAAATGCTAATGCCTTTGTTCCAATGCCATTTCTTCGAATGTCTCTCATTGGAACCAGGGGACAAGATTTCTTGTCTATTTATGGGAAAGGAGCTTTGGTTTAGGGTCATTCATCAGCAGTACCTTCAATAGGGATCGGTGGAGCGCCCACGCAGTGGCCGCCATCATATCCTGTACTCCCACCGCATCCCTTTCTGCAAAAATCATCAGTGGGAAGTGGCTCACAGATACGTTAGCTTCTTCTCCTCTACTAGGATTGGGCGGAAACTACATCCCATCGCTTGCCCTGGCGTACAGTCTCATCAAAATAACTTCTTAAAGCAACAGTTCAGGGAGGGTCCGAAAATTTCAATGCCACTACTACTGAGGGATACACGAGCCCTAGTGAAGAACATATGCAGTGGAAATAATAAACGAACTTACCTCAGAAACTCAAAAACAGGGTGGAAAGTCCCTCAAACATGGGTGTTCTCTTGGGGATTTCCCCAATCCCGCCCCCTTGCCGGCCGTCATTGGACGCGTCGGCAATCGTGCTCGTTTTGGGACCACAGGGAAAATTGATTGAAAAATGGAGCGCGTTTACAGCGGGCACGTTCAGACAACTCGTCCAACGTGCGTCTTTATCCATTGCTGAGCGGCAGAGGGAGAGTACCTGTCTAAGACCCTCCCCGACGTTTTTTTCCAGTTTTTCATACATTAATCGTCTGGTTTTCATCTACAACTTCATTATTGGTGGTTTTTTCCCGCGAAACCGTTCCTGAACTGTTGCTTTAAAAGCACAGGAGTTAGGTGGCAAAGGTTACCGCGCGATCTGCTCGTATGAGATGAAGCGCGCGACGGCAATTTTTCGTTATTTTGCCTTTGTGGTGAAAAAGGGAGCTAGCGCTGCAGCTAGGCCTGTGGAAAATAAAAACAATGGCAGTTTTTCCCCTTGATGGCACAATCGTAAGTGGCACGATAAAATGTATGGGAAAGAAGGACACATGTGCCTACTATGAAGGGAACCTTGGCCCCGAAAGCGGTACATATAGCACCTTCGTGGGCAAAGGGGACATTCAGCGCCGCGGTCGGGGGTAATTTGAGAGAAGCGGTGCAGGTGGCGGTTTCTTTGCGCGGAACGTGCCTAACCCATCTGCCCGCCCACCGATTAGCTACCTCAGCTACTGACCCTTCGCTGATGGATCCTTGTTTTTTCGGCTTTTATTTTGTTTAGCAGAGAGGCAGAGCAGAGCGTTCGCGTTGAGGGCGTCAGCATCAAAGAGTTGGTTAAGAGTGGAAATCAGTGGGAAAAAAGAAGGGTCCTATTTTGTGTTTTAAAATATCCCCTCGTTTTTTTTTTCATAACTGCTTACAATTGTACACCTGTTTTTTTAGAAGCACCCGCCATGCTGAACACAAGGGCGGATTGGGGTGGGCTATGCACTCGCGTCTTGGAGCCCCTGCCCCTTGGTCGAAGAGTGATTTTCCCCAGAATTTCTGCCGCCCGTTCGATTCGCGATCGGAATATCCCTTTAAAGTTAGCAGTTAAAATAAGGACTATAATCTAGGAACACTTCATATGCAAAAATGCCAAGCTCTTTGTCACCCATAGCCGATTCTATAGTGACGTAAGTCACATCTGATTTAAGTCCCACTGCAACATTATAATCAACCAGGATCAACTACAGAAACAGTTTTCGTTGGAGCAGGCCTGGACCCAATAAACTTTTTTCTGGCTGGCTAACCTCTCTTTCTTGAAAAAAAGAGTTATTTCGTAATTTCCTAATAACAGAAGATCTGAATGGTCTTGCATTGTTCGAACTGGCGAGGAAAATGCGAGATAATCTGGAATCAGATTCGTCAGCTTTGGCAAACAGGGTCACTCCTCCACTATGTTGCCTAATAAGTAGCACGGGGGGTCGTATTTTGGTGAGTTTTGTGCGAGGGGAGTGCGTACTTGCTTTCCGTTGTAAGAGTGGCATGTGATGAGTGGGGAAAATTTGCTGTTTCAGTGTATCAGTGTATACCCCTCCCCGCTCGGCGGTAATTTTTCGGGGTAAAAATTGTTTTGAAAAAGGGGGTCGTATGAAACATTCCATGAGGGAGCGGGTCGTAAAAACTTTTTGAAAACTAGCAACGATAGGACCGACCCTGCTTGCAAATGGTCATCAGTATTGGCCGAATGCTGAACCAGCTATCCTCACAGCAAGAGTTTCTGTGGTGTCCGATCGATCTCAAACATGCGATCCTCAACCTCAATAATGCTACTTTACTTCTGCTTTCATGTTGACTGGGCTTTGGCTTTTTTCTTTGCCCCGACAGTCTCATCTCGGCCACTTAAGTGGTTTGATGGCTTCTTACGAGCCTACATTTTCATTCTCCGTTCAGTTGTTGGTTAATGAGTGCCCCTGTATGTCGAGGAGGACAAGTCACGTGTGAGGTCTCGCTCGTTTCGTGCCTCTGTAATGCCTACTAACTCGTCCCACCACAATTATCACCCGGACCCTTTTTCTGCAATAGCTGGCGGTTGCGATCACTCGCTAACTCGCCCAGCAACCTGTCAATATCATCTACAGTAATTGTAGGTGCAGAATAACATACAAAGTTGTGCCCTTGATGGTGCCATAGCACCTCCAGTGACTTCAGCGTGCAATATTCGCGTGGTGAGCACTGTCTCCTAGGGCTACCGAACGCTCTTACAGTAACAGTTTATTTAACGCGGAGATATGGCATTCGGGTGAAGTCACCTTTGCCCATAAGAGCTTCCCTGATACGTTAGACTGCCGCTAGATGTAACGTGCCAGAGCCTTAGTGAGTTCAATTTGAGGACTGACGTAAGGAGATGTTGTTATTTCACTAGTTTTGAGAACTGCATGAAATTTGGTTTCATTAGGAAGAAGACATTGTACCCTCTCATAGCAAAAATGGAAAACGTAGCGACTCGGAAAAAGTGGATATGACTGCGCGCGCACGCGTGTTCACAATTTTTGGCGACACCTGGGGCGGTATTCAATCCTTCCCCCAGGGGTTGGGGGACGGAAATCCCTTTAAATTTATTTGTTTTTAACGATGTAGTTTCTTCATTTTCAATGCATGTTTACTGTGACATACATACATACATTAAACCTAGGCCCTTTATCAGGACAATCCCAGTTGGGAAGACAGAGAAAATTTTTCGTCCCCCAACCCCTAGGGGAAGGATTGAATACCGCCCCTGTATACAGACTGCACCTCCGAAACCCCAAAGGTACGATGGCTTTTTAAAAAAATCGCTAATGCAATACTAATGTTTATCGAAATGTACGAATTACTTCAATACCACAATCGTAAAGAATGACGTTGAACGGTGCGCGATAGAATGCACGCTCACACGGGGAGAGATCGTAAATAGGGGGAGGGCGGCAGAATACATACCGAATTTAACATCGCATTAACAGTGAAATACAAAAATTACCAACGAGTGCGGGCTGTGTTGTGGTGAGGGGCACGACATCTGATGAAATTAAAAGAGGAACTGAATATAAAAGACACTGCACTTGGATATATATTATATGAACAGAAAACTCACACACGAAAGAGGAGCACAAATCGTTGGATACAATGACAAGAGAATAATGTGGTAGAAAACAACGCAAAAGAAATAATGAAGTATGAAACTCAACAACATGATTAACAATTGTTCAATCCTACCGGTGCCTTAATACGAGCTCTGCTAATGCACACAAGCGCAAAGGAACCGGAATAGTAACGGTGCGATGAAAAGCTAATTAACCAACTTTTACCCACACACACTCGATGAACAGTGAACTTCGACTGAGGAAACACGAACTAAGAGGCTGCTATTAGCGCATCTCGTCTTCGTCAACCATAGCATTTGGGTCCAGCATTCCTGGCACGGCGTTCTTCTTCGCTTGTACCGCTTGAATCTCAGCCTCTCTTTCTTCGAGGAACAAGTCAGAGGTATCTTCTCCGTTGAACTCCTTGAAAATAAAGAGTCAATCCTATGCACTCAAGCCGCACGGAAAAACTGAACTGTGTGAAGAAACAGAAAAATAACCTTAATTTGCACAAGGAAATCACGAAGGTGGTTTCGCATACCACCTTGATCTGTATTGAAACTGAAGAATCCCTTGATGATAACTCGGATTTGACCCCTGAAATACGCTCAAATCTGTGGTTGTCAAAGGAGTAGCTAAGGATGTTGTTATACTTACTCGGTAAGATTAGTAAAATGCTGCACGAAAATATTGGCGATGTACTCGTAGATATAGTCGACATTGCTCTGCTTAGGGTTATCATCATTCAAGGGCACCGTGATCAAGAATTCACAAGCCTTGAACAGTCTGCACAACACCTCAGCGTAGTAAGTCAGACCTGCAAACGGTTCACCGTTATAAAATGAATGTTAAGGCCAGCGTGACCAATTCATTGAAAAAAAAAGCCACGCATTCACTGATATGAGCAGGATGAAAAAGCTGAAAGCTAGTCTTTTAAAAGAGCTGAGTTGGATGAAATGGTGCCCCGGTAGCGTAACTGGTAGCGCACTTGCCCGGAAAGCGAGAGGTGCGGGTTCTAGTCCCGCCTGGGGCGAAAGTTTTGTTCACAACCCAGCATTCTTGTGAAACATTCGCTACGCTAATTCTTTCATTCTCAAAGTCAAGCCATTCCAGGTAGGGTAAATTTTGTCCAACAACTT